GGGGCCATGTGGCTCATGGTCAGCCTGCCCCCAGCAGCGCAGGGCGAGGTCCTGCTGGGCAGGCCGCGCTCCAGCAGCCCCGTGGAGCCCGCTGCAGACGTATCCGCCTGGGGAGACGCACTCCCGGCGTGGCCCCCGATACGGACACGCAGGGAGCCTGCACCCCGTCTGCTGTGCACATTCTGCTTAGGGGGTCAGCAAAGACAGGGGGAACCAAGTACAGTAATCGACCTGTAACTCCACACACCCCACCTCCCCAGGGGGCGAGCAGCAGTCACGTGGGCGAAGGGGATATGTATGGACCGTTATAGGAGTTATAAGAGCCCCCAATAAAAAGAATGATTAAAATGAAAACAAACAAACAAAAAACAGGGGGAGCCTCAGGGAGACGGACGGACAGATGCACTGGGCACAAACCTAACACTGATGGGAGGAAGGTGCACGGTGGTGGGTGTCCGTCTGCAGGGTGCAGGATCCGCTGTGACTGGGAGCACCCTGAACACGGGGCTGCTCCGAGCCTCGGGCGGGGGCCCCAGGGGCTCATGGCCGGCAGGGCCATACAGGCCCCTGGGAGGGAACCCCCGAGGAGACCAGCCTTCTGCAAAGCCCGTCACGTGCTGGCAAATCCTCGGCTGACCCTGGACGCTGCGGGTGGGCAGGGAGCCGACTCGGTGCAGACAGCTGGGCTCCCTGTGGGGACCTGGCCTGTGCTGACAGCTGCCTGTGTCCCCAGGTCCACGCTGAGCATTCAGGGCCACGGTCCCCCAGGGGACATGCCCGGGAGCTGTAGGTGGACGGTGCTTAGTGGGGTGGCCATACTCGGACCACCCCAGGGGCTGGCACCCACCCTCGGTGGTTGCCATGCCCCAGACACGCCCACCCAGCAGCCAGCCTGCTTCCTGAGCAGGTGACCCACGAGGGTGGCTGTCCCCCGGTCACTGAGTTGAAGTGGAATCAAGGGCAGCGGGTTGTGTGCCTTGGGCTTGAAGCACACATCTCAGACACTCCGTCCACGGGGCCAACAGCACTAATATCCTTCTCCCAACGTTTCCAACAGCAACCCCCAAACAGAAGGCCAGCGTTCCGGACACCTGCCCCTTCTCGCCCCCCTCCCGTCCCCCCTGGGCCTCTCAAAAACCCCTGGCCCTGCCTTTGCCTCCCGTACCGTTTTCACCTGCGTGAGAGCCCACAGCTGTGATGTTGGGGGTCCTGCCGTGACCATCTCAGCCTGGGCAAGGGCGCGGCCTCCACGCTACTGACCCCTACATGGGTCAGCCCTGCAGGGCGTCAGGCTCGCCCACTACAATGTGGCTGCTAGTGGTTCGAGCCCACTTCCTGCTCCGAGGGAGGGAGATGAGGCTGTCTGTCCCTGTCGAGTTACAGCCTTGGACACGCACGGGGCAGTGCTGCCCGGCCAGCACGGTCACTGGGCTGGAATTGAGTCGATGGCAGTTAGTGTTTTGGACACTCACTGTGTGGATGGACCACAGTGTCTGTCTGTGGGGAACAGAAGGATTTCTCTTAAGCTGTCTCCCCAATATCTACCAGACTTAGCTGCTTAAGACTGACTGCACACTGGGCGGTCAGCGAAAGTGGGTCAGAGGTTAGTCTCGTTAACATCGGCCATCTAGAGCGGCCAGACTGTAGAGTCTGACTCCCCCTAATAGGGCCCAGTCCCGTCTGCTGTTGTCCCCTTGAAGCAGTGCCCAAAGGCAAGCCCGGGACCCCTCTAGGATGACTAAGCTCATCGAGTCCAGGGACCACCCATCTTGCCACACATGCCCCCCTATTCCCTCCTCTTACTGCTGCGCGTTCACCCCAGGTCGTCCCCCCAAAGTGCTAGGACGCGTGGTTAGCAATAAATAAGGAGGCTTTCTGGTTCTCAGGAGGGCAGCTGCTCCGGCTCTGGTGGCCGGGTCCCCCGAGGACCACCAAGCCGGCCGGAGGTGAGCAATGCTACCGTGCAACGTGTCTGACTGTAGTATTGTAACATCTCTCAT